CCTATATACAATATTTTGTTAAATAAATTAGAGAATTTTTGGGATACTCCAAATAGATTTGAAAATGGAAAAGTAAGTTTATTTATATTTAATATTTATATTAAATGTAATTAAATTCCTTTTTTTTAATAGGAAGCGGCAATTAATGCCATTAATAAGCTTAAAATTTACTACAATAAAACTGATTCAACTTTATATGCAGTTTCTTTAAGTAAGTTATTATTAAGTTAATTTAATTTAATTAATTTTAATAATGTTTGTAATATATATAGTTTTAGATCCACGTCTTAAAGTAGAATATATGAAAGATAATGAATGGGAAACCCAATGGGTTGATAGAACAAAAAAAACTGTATGAGTTTTATTTGTTTTATTTAAATTATATTATAATTTTCTTTATTTTATACATACTATATAATAATTTAATAGGTATCTGAACTCTATATGACGTTATATGCACCCCAAGAAATTCAAAATACTAATATAGAATATAATTCATCAGATGAAGATCTTGTTTCACATATTTCCAAATGGCGCTGTATTGAATCTATAAGTGAATTTGATCGTTATCTTAATGCTGATCAAGCACAAGCTCTGTGTGATACTTTAAATTAGTGGAAAGTAAGTTTATTATTTTAAAGGATATTTATTTAATTAAATATTTGTAACAATTTTTTAATTAATAGCGACATGAGAAAGAATATCCTAACTTATCGAACATGGTCAAGGACTACCTTAGGGTCCCAGGTTTATTACTAATCTGTTTTATTTATTATTCAATAATATTTTTTAATGTAAAAATATTTTATTTGGTAACAACGAGTGCTTCTGCTGAATGTATTTTTTCTAGCGCAGCTGACATAATAACATATGATAGAGCAAGTCTTGCACCTGAAACTGTGCGTGCAGTCATGTGTCTGAAGCATTGGTTTTGTTCAGGTGTTTTAGATTAAATTTAGGTTTATTAGTTTTTTCATATTTGAATTTTGTTATTTGAAGTTAGTTATTTGGATGGAGAAGAATTGGATACTCAGGAAAACTTTGGATGAATAATTTACATCAAAAGAAGATGATTAATATAATTTCTTACAATAACCTCACCTCTTTACAACACAACGTTGAAAATGTATGGAAAATGTGTGTTGATAGCTTTTAATTTTGATAAATAAAATTGTTAAACCTGATCCAATTCAATCAAAGTCTTATGAGAATGCTTTTTCATAACCAATTTAATAAAAAAAATAGATTGTTGATGTTTTTTTTAAAAAATGTTGCAAAACTGTGTTTGTTTCGCAACATTATTTTTTGAAATTAAAAACATTTTTTATTAGTTACACTGGTCAAATGAAGAAGTATCGGGTAATAACATATCAGGGCATGATATGCAATATTAAACGATATGTTGTATTTGCGTACAATATTGATCGATTGTTTATTTTAGATATTGTACAGTGTTGTGGTTAATGACATGAAATATTACATGGTCGAAGTTTCTCTTAAAAAAAAATAAAATAAAATTTTTTTTCATTAAAGTATTTTTTCGGTTACCGCAGAAATCATTTCAAGCAGAATTTTACTTTATTTTATGTAAATACAAGAGTAAAATAAACATTTTTTTTTTTTTTTGGAATTAATTATATTTTTATGAAAAAAAAGAGAAATCAAGATTTATTTTTATTTAAAGAAAGAAATACAAAAAATAAAAAAAAAAATCAAACTAAATCTTTTTTTTTTTT